ACTATCCTGGAAGAGCTGTTCCTCAGTGCATCCAATGTTAAGTTTTAAAAACAGCCTCTAACCCTGCCCAGGTATCCTCAAACTCCCTCTTAATGCTGAGATACCCTCAAATGCCCTCTTAATGCTGATGAATTAGAAGAAATGGGAGCTGGGCTCACCTTGCCAGCCATAAAAGTCGATGAGGAGCTGAGTGAATGGTGCTATGAGGAACGTCAGCCCCATCCCAGAGCGGGCGATGGCATTGGAGAAGGCCAGCCTTGTCCTGCAGCGCTTGGCTGTCATCACTGTGGCTGCCTGGTAGAGGCAGGAGAAGCCCATACCTGTGGTGAGGGACAGAAATGAGATGTTCGTGCCCCAAAATGGAACTGTTTCTATCGTGAGCTTTAGGGATTCAACATCACAACAGCGCAAGATCATTGTCCGCAGAGTGGGGAGTTCATGGGCTGAAAGGGGGGAACTTCTGCTGGTGCAGTCAGTGGACAGCAAGTGGTATTTAGTGGATGGGGGTGTTGAGGCTGTGCACTGTTAGTAAGGGGTTTAACAGGGCAGGATTCATACTGGGTCCAGAAAAAAATCAAGGTTAGTTGAGATTAGTGTGTTGAAACTGGTATTTTATGCTCCTGAGCATGAAGCTTTGGTGTTTCACGCAGCATCCCATGGGAAGGAGCTGGGGATGCTCTAATAGTAAAGGAACTGCCTGGTGTGATGCTAAAGGAGCTGCTTTTCCTCATGGGGCCTGGGGAAATCTGTGCCCGAGTCGCAGGCTGCTCACCCAGGAGGAGTCCCATGGAGATGCAGAGGAAGGGGACGCTGGTGGCCTGTGTGCTGAGCAGGCAGCCCCCGGCCACCACAGCGGCCCCGGCGATGGAGGTCGGCCGCTCGCCCAGCTTCCTGCAGACCACGGCCACGACCGGGGCTGGAAGGGGAAGGAGGGACAAAGCTCAGGCTGAAGATGACAAAAGGGCCTGGGGACGTGTAATGGGATCCAGTGCCTTAGGAAGTGTCCATTCACCACCTTGGGACAGCGGGAAGGCAGGGACCCCTTCCACTGGAGCAGCTTGCTCCAAGCCCCTGTGTCCAACCTGGCCTTGAGCACTGCCAGGGATGGGGCAGCCACAGCTTCTCTGGGCACCCTGTGCCAGCGCCTCAGCACCCTCACAGGGAAGAGCTTCTGCCTAAGAGCTCAGCTCAGTCTCCCCTCGGGCAGGTTCAAGCCATTCCCCTTGCCCTGTCCCTACAGGCCCTTGTCCCAAGCCCCTCTCCAGCTTTCCTGCAGCCCCTTTAGGCACTGGAGCTGCTCTAAGGTCTCTCCACAACTCCAACAGCTCCACATCCCTCTTACGTTGGAGGATGTGTTCATGCTCAGGACAGGATTAATTTGGGATGGGTTATTATTCAGGAGTGCAGACGAGGCTTTGTAACCTGGGAGCTCAGGGGTTGGGGCAGGGGAAGGAGTCAAAGCCCAAACAGAGCCTGTTTCCTGATGCACACTGTGCTCAGCCACTGGGACTTCCTTGGAGGTGCCAGCATTGGTGTTAGAGGTGAGGCTTGGCTCTGGGTGCGGACAATAAACCTGTTACAGGAAGGTGTCGTGGCACACACGATCCCCATCCTTGGACCATGCTCCCAAGGCACACGTGGGCATCAGCCATGTCCAGGATGCAGCAGTCTGGTATGGAAATGGGATCCGCAGAGCATCCTCGGTGCCCACGTATCAAAGTGGGCTTGAGGTTGGGATGCTGCTCCAATCCCTACGGATTCCAGCTCACCTCCTAAGAAGCGCAGCGAGGACATGATGGAGCCGATCCAGCTGATCTGCTCAGAGGAGCCCCCCATCTCCTCTTGGAAAGCCACGAAGAAAATCCCAAAGGTCTTGAGCATCCCTATCACGAGTACATTGACCTGGATTGGAAGCAGATGCAGGTGAGATGCCATAAACTGGAGGAAAAGCTTTTCCTTCCTCCTTCCTTGTGCAGACAACTTGTGTTTTAAGGAGAAACAAGTTGGGACACATGAACTGGTGTGTGATGGGGAATACTGGGGGTGTGGAATACCAGCTGCTGGCCACGCTGCAGTTTCATCTTAGACCCTCAAAAGCACCTTGTGTGCAAACAGGCAGTTCCAAAGAAAGGGAACAAAATTAACACCAGAGCCCAACTTTTAACACTGAAAATGAACTTAAATGGGGCTTATTACTATTGAAGGTGTAGGGCAGGGTGGGGATGGATGTCAGCCAGGGCAGGTTCCCAGGCTGGCCCTGCCACAGGGCAAAGGGCAGTTTGTGTCCTTAATGTTAACTCCCTCTTTCCCCCCCTGGTAGTGGGTGGTTAATGATTGGCAGGGAGTTACTTTGGATGGAGTGGAAGTAGGGAAAGTTTTCCTGTGCTTCCCAGCTTTCTGATCATGGGGTATGGTGTCTTCCTCATGGATGTGCTGGTAGAGCCTGTGGCAGGGAGAATTAGTGCCTTTAAGAGGTGTTAAGGTGCCCGGCCCTCCCAGGAGAGAGGAATAGCATGTGTGCTGCCTGCACCCAGTGCTGCTCTGGGGACCCATCTCAGCTCCAATCCTTCACTGCCCCAAGGTGGGATCTTGCCCTTACCAAAGGCACTGTTGGGTTTGACACCCCAGTGCTGGTGTGTGTGAGTAGGGAAGACTCATCTGAGCACTGCAAGCTGCCTTTAGGTGCTGGGCTGCGGGTTGGGCACCCTCATGTAGATCTCCTTCATAGGGGAAGGTGTCTGCTCAGCCCTGGTGTGATGGGTGATGGTGCTCGGGGTAGCAAAGCAGAGCTGATTTCTGCCCTTTCCTCGGTGGGCTCAGCCTGCCCCATCCTCTGCTCCATCAAGGTCTGAGTTGGTTGAGTTTGTTCTCTGCTTACCAGGAAGAAGTGGAACACCACTCCCCAAGCGCACCCTCCATCTGCAGCTTTAGCCTCTGGGCAATTCCTGGCTGCTGGAGCCTCGGGCTCTTCCACCTTCCTTTCACCTGGGAATGGGAATTCCAGGACACATTAACACTGCTCTGTTGCTGTTCCCATGCAGGCATCAGCTGCCTTTGAACCCTGCAGCTCCGCTGTTGCTAAGGCAGGCACCAGTGCTTTGCATTCAGCTTGTGAAAGCTGTTGAGGGTGGGTGAAGCTTTCACCAACCTTTTGGCCACCAGATGGGAAGTTGCACATTTGCTGCCTGCAAACAGCTCAATATCCTTCCTCTTTCCCCCCAGATTACTGGAGCCCCTTGAGCTTTAAGGGATTTTAAGAGACAAGCACCTTTCTGATGCTTTAGGGTAGATGGTTTAGTTGGTTTGTGCCAAAAGTTTGGGGGTCACTTTCTACCTGTGTCCATCTTTGAGCTCTCGTGGGAAGCTCTCCCTGCCCTGTCCTTCTCTGCTTATCTCCCTTCCATCCTCCCGCCCATCCCACACCTCTGGCTGTGGCAGGATCCTGCCTCAGGGACCAACTGAATCCTAAAGGAGTCGGGGTTGATGAACTTGAAATGTTTCCTTACCCCCTTGCTGCTCCATTCTGGAAAATCCTCCCCAAAACAGGCGCTTGCAGAGAGGAATCGTCTCTTCATTTACTGCAGAGACTAAATCCCCCCTTCCTTTGGCACTCCAAAGCCTGGGCCTTCATTCACCTCCAGTGAGGACAATGCTGTCTGACCTTCCCAATGAGCCCCACAGTGGGACATGAAGCCCGACAAGCGCTGGGGCTGAGTGGACAGAGCCCGTCCTCCTCCTCCTCTTGGGAGGCAGAGCCCAGCTAGCAGGGCCCCAAGGCCAGGAGTCCCTCCCCTTCCCTGGTCAGGAGCAGGAAGCTCAGAACATTGGGAGCAGAAATCCTGCTGGGAGAAAAGAGGAAGGGTTGGAGCTCCAGGAAGAGCCCTGGATCTTGCTGAGCAGAGCAAGAGGTGGCAGCGGTGGCTGCAGGGGAGCAGAGCCCCATCCCTGCCTGTGCTACACAAGCCTTGGTCTGGGATACTGCATCATTTGGGATGGGGTACTCTGGAAAGCTCTAGATTTCCCAGCCAAGATGCTGGGCAGTGGAGCGGAGCAGCCACTCGAGCGGAGCTGTGGTTTGGCAGGACTGGAGTTGGCTCCGTGCCTCTCCTGTAACCATGCACCAGCTCCTGGGTAAACGGAGCCCTCACACTTCCCCCCCTGTCGCGGGTGACCCATCACCCCCATCAGCATTCCTGTGGGATCATGATGGGGATCTCTGCTCCCTCCCTCGGCAGGGAGGGCCCTGCTCCAGCTTGCGGGAGGAGCCAGGATCCGGCAGAGCCTGTGGAGGCTCTTTCCCTACAGCAGGACTTTCAATGTGCATTAAGCTTTCAAGTGAACTGGGGTTTGCAGGCAGCGTGGTTTAAACACAGCAGTGACTGTGAGATTGTGAATGCCGCTGATAAACAGCTGCTCCTAGCAGCAGAGTCCCAGCAGTGTGACTGCCCTTTTAACTCAGAGCCAGCCCCATTTCCTGGCTCATGCTCTGCTGTGGAGCTTCCCCTTCACTGCACGCATGAGCACAGCTGCAGGCCAGCTCCCTTCCACTGCCTCACACACAGGAAGCTTTTGAGTGCAGTTTTCCAAGGGGAAAGCCTTTGTGCAGGATTGTTTCCCTGCACCATTCCAAATGCCAGAATCTCTAAGAGGGAGAGAGGTCTGGATTTGTGAGGATGTTGTCAACATCCATTAACTGTTCACGCGGGGACCAGGCGCCAGGACCACCGTGTGTAGGGCTGAACTTCAATCCAAGGCACAGTAAGCAAGTAACTTACACATTGGATGTTTAACTAGAGGAGGGTAAACATTTCCAAGGAGAAATTCCTTGGGAATTGTTTGCACCTTGTCTGTTGGAGGAGCCTCCACTACTTCAAGTCTTGGTGTGCTATTGCTCTCCAGAGAAATGCTAGTGAAGAGGGGAGAAATCACTTCACTTGGCTTTGGAATCAGGGCAAAGCCATGGCCATGGTTTTCACAGCTGGAACAAAGGAAAGCAAAGGTGTTTTTGCAGGTCATTTATTGATGCCTCCAACAACTAAGGCCATGCACACAAATACACCCTGTAGTATCTGATCATTACACAAGCGTGGTGAGTGACCCCCTTTCATCCTCAGCAGCACAAGTGCTAAAAAAGAGTGGGTGAGAGACACCGACAGCTGCAGAAGGAGCTGGTGAAGTGGAGAGGGGGAACCTTCAGCCCAGGTTTGGTACTGCAGGCATGTTCTGGGCTCGAGCAACAGAGGATGGAGGTTGTCCAGTGAGGAGGAGCTGAGCCAGAGGGGGAGTGAAGCGCTGCACGGGTTCCTGGTGGTCAGGACGCCAGCTTATGGACTGCTACAGTGATGCTGTCGTGCTTCTGGATCATGATGTTCCTACATCAAGAAAAGTGCTGGGATGAGTAGGAGTCAACTTGGGGCGGAGAAGGGACAGGGGTATCAGTGAGTGGCTGCAGCACCTCCAGCTCAGCACTAGATCTATGGTTGCTGCATCTTTTCTGATGGAGAAGTCTTTGCCTGCAACACTGACTTGCTCCAGCACTGGCTTTGCTATCTGTAGGGATCCCAAGTGTGGAAGAAATAAAGCTGCAGTAACCACCACCCCTGAAAGGTTTCCTACTGCTACTGCAGTTCCTGCTGCTTGAGCTCCCATGAATGTAGACTTCTAGATCCTGCCCCTCTACTCTGCTCTCATGATACCCCACTTGCAGCACTGTGTGCAATTCTGGTGCCCTCAACATAAGGACATGGAGCTGTTGGAGCAAGTCCAGAGGAGGCCACGAGGATGCTCAGGGGCTGGAGCACCTCCTGTATGGAGCCAGGCTGAGAACACTGGGGCTGTTCAGCCTGGGGAACAGAAGCTGTGTGGAGACCTCAGAGCAGCTTCCAGTGTCTGGAGGGGGCTACAAGGATGCTGCAGAGGGACTCTTCATTAGGGACTGCAGTGACAGGACAAGGGGTGACGGGTTCAAACTGGAACAGGGGAAGTTTAGCTTAGATATAAGGCAGAAGCTGTTCCCTGTGAGGGTGCTGAGGCGCTGGGGTTGGAGCTGGAGAAGCTTTAAGGTTCCTTCAATCCAAACCAGTCTGGGATTCTAACTCACATGCCCATGGCAGTCAGCACCTTCCCCCAATGGCTTCAGAGTTCCCCCAGTTTAGCTCAGCATGAGGAGAGCCCCAGGGCAGCCGCTGGCTGGGAACTCACCCACTGTCTGACTCCAGGCACACCACGGGGATGTCGGTTGGGTCAGAGGTGAGCTTGGCTGCCTGCTGCGCAAGCACAGAGATGACACCAGCGTGCTCATCCGAGAGGGTTCCTCTGCCTGCGAGAGGTGGGAGACGTTGGCTGAAGCCACATCTATCAGGAACAACCGTGCTTCCCCACTGAGACAGCGTTGCATTAAATGACCTTTACAGACCCCTTCCAACCCAAACCATTCCATGTGCCTCCAGTTAAACTGATCCCCTCTGGAGCTGTGGGGGCCGCTCCTGCCTCCCTTGAGCACCGATGCAGCATCTCCCCTCACTGATGCCCTCAAAGCACTGGAAGCCTGAATTCCAGCGGCAGAAAGAGCTGGCTCTGGTTCCTCTCAGCGTATGGCGGGGGGCAAGGTGAGTGCCATGGGGCTGTCGGGGGCCCTTGGCGGGTGGGAGGCTCCAGCAGCACAGGGCCCAGCGTGCTCAAAGCCCGGGGGCCCGGTACCCCCACACCGGGCAAGGCCCAGCATGCCCAGCCCTTGCTCTGCGGTGGGGCTCGGTTACTCACAGCCCAGGTTGAGCCCCTGCGAGTCCGTGCACAGGACGCCCACAACGGCGGGGCTCTTCATGCTGCGGGGGGAAGAGACACAGCGGCGGTGAGTGCAGGGCGGCCGCGGCCCTCCTCCTGCCCCGGTGCGGCCCCATAGGCCCCCCCGCCCCCGTCCCTTGCGGGTCCCCGCGGGCCCTGCCCCTCTCTTCCCGCTCTCCCCGTCCCCGGTGCGGCTCCACCGGCCCTGCCCCGGCCCATACGTGTCCTCCAAGTGCTGCTCCAGCGTCCCCTCCATCTTGCCGCGCCCCTTCACTTCCGCCCTCCCTGGCAGTGGCGTCGCTCACGTAGACGGCGGCTCCGCAGGGCCAAAAGGCCTCGCCGCGCAGGGCCGCCCGCTCGGCCGCGTCGTGCGGGGACCCGGGGAGAGCCCCAGGCAGGTCCCGAGCCCCCGGCGCGGAGCCTTCCGGGGTCTGTGCGATCAAGCAGCCGCTTCAGGCTCAGACATGAGCCAGGCTGCGGGCTGGACGCGGATCCGGACACTGCACCCCCCGGGCGGCCTTCCCCTTTCTGCCCTTTGGTGCGGTTCTTGGGGTTTGGGGTTTTTTCTCCCCCTTTTCCCGTCTTTGTGCGCCCCGGTGGGGTTTGTTCGTGTTTCCCTCCTGCCGCGCAGCAGCGCTGGGGTTTGAACGGCAAAATGCAGTTCTAGTGGTGGATTAATGGCCCTGCACAGGCTTCCCCAGGTGGAGCATCCTCTCACAGCTGGACCACAGCGAGGGATGCAGGGACACGGGGGCACGGCTGGCCTCTCTGATGGAGCCCCCCCCCTGCAGCCCTGATCCAGCTCTGGGGCAGCAGCACAAGAGGGACGTGGAGCTGTTGGAGCGAGGCCAGAGGAGGCCATGGAGATGCTGCGAGGGCTGGAGCAGCTCTGCTCTGGAGCCAGGCTGAGAGAGCTGGGCTGGGGCAGCCTGGAGAAGAGAAGGCTCCTGAAGGGGAGACCTGAGAGCAGCTCCAGTGCCTAAAGGGGCTGCAGGAAACCTGGAGAGGGGCTTGGGACAAGGGCCTGTAGGGACAGGCCAAGGGGAATGGCTTGAACCTGCCCGAGGGGAGACTGAGCTGAGCTCTTAGGCAGAAGCTCTTCCCTGTGAGGGTGCTGAGGCGCTGGCACAGGGTGCCCAGAGAAGCTGTGGCTGCCCCATCCCTGGCAGTGCTCAAGGCCAGGTTGGACACAGGGGCTTGGAGCAAGCTGCTCCAGTGGAAGGGGTCCCTGCCCATGGCAGGGGTTGGAGCTGGAGGAGCTTTCAGGTCCCTTCCAATGCAACCCATTCCATGATTCTGATTTACAACAGGAAGGGCCGCTCTGGACCGATGCCTGCAGTGCCAGGATGGGGGGATCAGGACTCCCACCCTGTTCCCTTGAGGCAGGAGGTGTTCAAAGTGATGCCCAGCCCGGTTTTCCTCCCCCCAGAAAGGAGCCCCGCTGCCAGCAGAGAGTAGGAGGTAATTTATGGTGGCTGCATCGCAGAGCTCGGCGATGCTAATAACGTGCCAGCTAAAGCCGTTCCTGGCTGCGCCTGGCGATAGATCTTGCCTTGTCAGGCTGGCAAATTAAAATGTTATTGATGGGCGAAGTGCAGCAGCAGCTTGGATTTATTCATTACTCTCAATTCTATTTTTCTTTCTCCTTCATCCAGCTGGAAGCTCTTTTGGGCAGCACCGGGAGCCCCCAATCCCCACTGTCCAGTGGCTCCCCGCTGCATCCCACTCTATTAGGATGGGCTCAGATTCCCTTTCTTGTGTTACTCTTTTTCTCCCCAAGACAGGGCAAAAATGTGCCCAACAGAGGCTGGGGGCTGCATCCTCCCTGCCCCATCAGCACCTTCCCAAGGAAACCTCCCAGAACAATGCTCCCTACAGCTGCATTTATGGAAGGAGGGGCTCTGGGGAGAATTGGGATTACTTAGTTCAAGCCCAGGTGGAGGAGACTTTAGGGAAGCAGCAGCATCAAAAGCAGTGCTGCTCTCTGGGCAGAGAAGTGATTAAATAGACCCTTTAGCACTGGACTGATCCTCTACAAACGAAACTCAGCAGGAAAGGCTGATTTTAAACCATATGGTTCTGAGCAAACCCCTATTTCAAATCCCAACCCATCACCTTGGGCCATGTTTCCCTTCTGGCTGCTCCTGGTCCCTAATTTGCCTCCAAAGAGCAGGTCCGGCAGGGAGCAGCCCCAGAATCAGGCTTGGGGGTGTTTGTTCCTCATTGGGAAAAGGCAGGAGGGAATATATCTATAAACTCATAATGCTGATGAGGAGCCCTGATACTATGGGGATGGAAGCTGGCAATGCAGGGCTGGAAAAACTCATCTTGCTGGGTCAGAATTGCAAACTCAGCTTTATTTTGGGGCCTGGGGGGGGAATGGAGTTTTGCTTCCTGTTCTTGTGTAAAGGGTCTTAGCCATGATCTGTGCTTGCATGGCCCTGGCCAGCACAGCTCTGGCCATTGGGAACTTGGTCTGGGAGTCCAATTCAAATCCAGGCTGGACAGTGGGGTACCACTCTCTATATGTTGGCCATGGAAAAGCAAAGGGGCCACATGGGAGGAACATGGGGACATTGCATCTCAGAGGCTGCTGAGATTTCTTGCTCCTCTCCCACCTGATGGATGGGACTCCTGAGCCAGTGGGTGCTTTTGTCGAGGCCCCCATTCCCATCTCATCCCTTTAAAGGGATGTACAAATTGACGAAGAAGCTGGTAATTCCATCTTTTCCTGCTTTTTTAGCCACTTTAGCGATCCCTGGTCTTATTCCCTTGTGCTCCCAGGAGATGCACCAAATGCAATTTGAGCTATGGGGGATAGACACTTCAGAGTATAAATCAACATATTTACACATTAGCTTCTGATTCAAACGCACCCTCCTTACTTAAAAAAGATATTATTCCCTCTCTTCCTTCTTTTATCCTCACAAATAAATGCAGCCCAGCCTCTGTTTCTGCAGGATATTTATCACAGAGGCACATTATTACCCATTGCGCTATTCTGAGCCCACAAGTAGCAGGCTAACTTTAGTCTTGTGTGCTCTTTTAGCTGAACAATCACAAAGTCTTAATTTAATTCTTAAGTACACCCGTCAAGGGATAAATATGGATATAGGGGTGGACTTGGGAAATCCAGCTGTGTTGGCTTGGCTGAAAAATAACCCTGGGATGTGGCTGTGGGTGGGAGAGGTGGGGTTTTTTTTCCCTTCCTCGGTGCTTTATTAATATTTCTCTTCCACCATTAGAGATTCAGGTCTCATCTGCTTCTGAGATCATCGAGGGGGGGAAAAAGCCCAGGGTGGTGGAGCTGGAAGGGGTTATATAGGGCGCGTGGTGCGGGGCTGCTGCAGAGCTTGGTGGCGCAGGGGAGACGGCTCCTGCCCCGGCACCATGGGCTGGATCCTGCAGACCCTCTGCTTGCTCCTGCTCATCTCCTCCTGTCCCTGCGCTGTTATCACCGGGGTAAGTGCTGCTTCCGTACCCTACCTGGGAGAGTCCTTATTTGTTTCGATTATCTTGGGAATGAAGGCAGGAATTGATGCTTTTCGATGCTTTGGTTTGGGTGCTTTTCCGCAGTTTATTACCTGGGTTTCCAGCACAGGGATGCTGTTCCCATAACCAGCCCCCAGCCCATGTGAGTGTAAAGTCACAGCACTGAGCTGCTCTATCTGCTTCTCAGCACTGTATGAACCCTGCATGTGGGAAAACAGGGCTTTTGAGGAAGTTTTCCAGCAGGGGAAAAGTGCTGTATCTTTACAGGCATCCTCCAGAGCACATTCCCAACTGGGACAAGGGCTCGGGCACCCCGAATTGCCTTTCTCCTTCCTAAATGTAGAGAAGTGATGATAAGAGAGGCGAAGTGTGGGGATGGAAAGGAGAGCGGCAGCGCTGTGTTAATGGGCTGCTGGGGATCAGCATGTCCCACAGCTCAGCACTGCAGGGCAAGTGCTGGACCGAGGTGATGCCAAAAGCAAGAGGAGTGATGAGTTTTGGGGACAGGATCCAGGCTTTTGTGATCCTTCAGGGGTCCAGATGCTGGTTTCAGCAAAGCCAGGCTTGGATGAATCCCTGCCTTTTACCCTGGGCAGCAGAAAATCTTCTGTTTAAAACCAAGACAGAGTGTTTGTGTCCCGGCTCCTCTCTGCCTCCCGGCTTTTCCCAGCTGATGGGAATTCTGTGGTGGACTTCGACTGGCTCTTGGCTCCTTTTTGCCCTCACAATCAGACCTCTTTCTTTCAAGCCTATGATTCCCTTTGGCTGGATCTGCCCAACCTGGAGCTGCGAAGCCAAGTCCGGGGGCAGCCACCTCCATACAGGGCCAGGTAGACCTGGGTCTATCATTCCCAGGGCTTCAATGGCTCATTGTGAATAACCAGAGAGAAGAGGCTGCGTGTGCAGGTCCTGGCTTGCCTGCAGCCCCTATCAGCCCCCATCAGTCCCCCTGGCTTTGCAGGTGAGGGTCCATCATTGCTGAGATTTCATCTTCAGTAGTACTTGGTTCTTACAAGGTGCTTCGGATGCTCGAGGAGAATTAATTCCCTTCAGGAAAGGGCAGGTCCTACAAACCCCCCTTATTGCCTTCCTGTGAGAGAGCAGCACCCTAAAATCGTGTTCTTTCCATTGCTCTCATGGTCTTTTCCCCAGTTGCTATTCCCACACCTCTTTTTCCATATGAGCCATGGACTTGTGGCTGATAGCTCCTGTGATAGTGGTACCCTAAGAAGGGGGTGATCCCATTTGGGGTTTGGATGAGCCCCATCGGTTCTTCCTGTGCTACCATAAGGAGAATGGGTTGGAGCAGGGGTTGGGGGTGCAATGAGCTGCTCTTGTGATGGCCAACACAGCCTGGGGGGCAAAATGGGACCTGTTTCTTGCTTAATGTTCCCCCCATCCACCTCTTCTGAGCATCCTCATGGGCTTCCATTGTGGTGGTGAGCTGCTGCAGCATTTGCATCCGTGCCTCAGTTTCCCCATCCCAGGGGAAGAGGTTTCTGATTCCCATTTCCCACCTGCCTTGGGTGGAAGAGGCTGAGTCATGGGCATTATTCCCTATTAACAAAACAGGCCCCCAGAATGGGCATTTGCATTATTTAGCAGGTTTTATAGGCTGTACACGATGGACGAGGAGTTCACCCCCAGCGCCGCCGCTCTTAGCACCAAGTCTGCTTTTAATTGGGCAGCTGCAAACTTCTCCCTGTGTGTCCCAGCCCCGCACGCACCAGGGATATCCCCTTTCCTTCTGCAAACCCCAGCACCACAACCCCTGCTCTGCCCCAAAACCTCCCCAGCTCAACCCTCAATGGGAACAACAGCCCCTTCTCCCTTAAAGCCCCAGCCAGGGCTTACACCC